GAGCCACTCTTTCCTTTAACATATTTAAGTCACTTTTTCCTTTCACATTTTTTTAATGTAGGACTCTAACTCTCCACACTCAAAAGAGAACAACATACTTCAACAAGAAACTATCATTCAATCATCTCGAAGTGGCCTGTTGGTAACCTACTTGCAAATAAACAATTCCCCATTTGATGATTACCCAAAAACAGAAAGACAATGAATGAATTACTTCTTCTAGATCTGAACTAAGTAAAAGCTCCCCCTTTCTACAATAAATCTCAGGACCCAATATAATAAAAATATATCTCGTAAGTATATGAATGATTAAAATCATAAAGACAGGTTAAATGGGATCGATAATTAGTGATAAAGAAAGTTACTTGAGATTCACACAGAAGCTCTGTACTTTTCCTGTTCCATTTCTAAGAATTGATATGAGCAATTGTGGATGTACAAAGTTCAAAATTTGCTAGGGTCCACACGTGAATGCAATATATATAAACGAAAGACCAACCTAAGTGCAATGTCATATATTAACCAACAATAAATACATGTAATGAGAAAACAACACGTACAAGTAAGAGCCAGTAATCGTTCCAAATGATCGTTGTGATTTATTTTAGTTTAATCATAAATTGATAATGGCATTAAACCCCATTTCTAAACCAAAACACAGCCTTCCATTACAGTGACAGCTTTTCCTCGCAGAAGCACTCTCTCGTTTTGTTCATCCAAATGAATGTTTACGATTCCCCCTCTAGGTGATGCCTAAGCAAAGGTATGTGACACAATCAATATAAATAAGTATTATAAGTTAATAACAACCATGATTTTTAGGTCTGTGAGAGGTGTGTGTGTGTGTGAGAGAGAGAGGGAGAGAGAGAGAGAGAGAGAATACCGCATAGGCAATGAAGTCACACTTCCCTAGCTTTTGGCTCCAATATGGTGTCAAGGCACAATGTGCGCTCCCACAAACAGGATCCTGAAAAGTGTGAAGCAACATGATTTTAGACAGCTATTGAGAGATTGTTCCATTCCTTCATATATACCAATAAAAATAATACAGCCAAGCAATGGAGGGTCGAATCAAAAGTTCATCAAGGTAAGGCTCAGACGCCCTTTTGAGCTTAAAACAAGTATACACATTCATTCCCCAATTCCAAACACTGAATTGGATCTTGAAGTTGAATTGATATATCTTATTTTGTTATTTAAGTAGCATCTATGTTTCAGTTATTAGACTTTTGATACTTGCAGATTTTGGAGACATTCTCGGCAACTTATAAACAAATTTTC